TTAGGGTGTGGGAGATCATAACGAGGAGCTAGGTAGTCGACAAATTAAATATTGGACACAAAAAAAACCTAAAACGCCAAAACAAATGTACGGAGCCCCTAAGGTGACATTTTCCACACTTTTTTCCCCGGAACTTAATTCGTTTTTACGTAATAATAATTCGTAATTACGAAATTATAATTCGTTTTTACGAAATATTAATTCGTTTTTACGAAATATTAATTCGTAAAAACGAAATGTTATTTCGTAATTACGAAATAATAATTCGTAAATACGAAATAATATTTCGTAAAACTGAATTAAATTTTTTGTAGGGTTTCAAATCGTTTTGGTAATAGTTATAAATAAGGCCTCAAAACTAAGTTCCCCACTGAATATAAGGCATGTACATGCAATATAAATAGTGATTTTTGTTCTCCCAGTTTTTTAACTTTACACTATTGTACATAAATTAAAATAATAGCGCTGAGCCACAGCCGTGATAGTATCGCGCTAGGAAAATTTAGTTAAAATGGGGGTCCTGTGCTTCAAATCCAAACACGGACATTTCTAATTTGTTTAAACTGATTAGATTAGTGAAAGTCTGGACCCCCCACCCCCTCGTCCCATTAGTTTTACTAATGTATATGATAAAAGAACGGAATAATATAGCATGTTTCTGTTTTAAAGAAACATGTCATAAAAGATTGCCTCAAACATTAAAACATTGCTGATAGGAACATGTATTTGACAATAGGGTTTGGATAGAGAATGACTTCTCACTCAAAAACCCTGTTCACTTAAATATAATAACTTGAGAACCATTCGGCATATAATCGAAAGGTTGATCAAGGCTTGTAAATGACCGATTTGTGAGATTAGTAGGTTCTTTAGCAAGCTCAAAATGACCTTAAATAAGATTTCATAAAAACGAATTAATATTTCGTAATTACGAAATAATATTTCGTTTTTTACGAATTAATATTTCGTAATAACGAAATAATATTTCGTAAATACGAATTTATATTTCGTAAAAACGAAATCATATTTCGTAGAAACGAAATAATATTTCGTTAAAACGAATTATTATTTCGTTATTACGAAATGACAATTCGTTTTTACGAATTAATATTTCGTAATAACGAAATAATATTTCGTAATTACGAATTGATATTTCGTAATTACGAATTAATATTTCGTAAAAACGAATTAATATTTCGTAAAAACGAATTAAATGCCGGGGGAAAAGTGTCGAGAATGTCACCTTAGGGGCTCCGTACAAATGATATTGTACATTATCAAAAATATATAAAGATGAAAACAAATAATAATTAATGATATATCGATAACATACAGAACTGAGTCAAACCTACAGAAAATGGGCGTAAAAAAACTTGAAACAAATTACGTAATGTTTATATTTTGGAATGTTATCAGTAAACATTAATTGTTACGTCATCGGTATAAAGTCGTGGTATGCGTCACTCGTCATGACGATATTAGATAAGCAATCAAACAGTGTTTTCCACTTTGTGTGACTTATCGTTTTCGGATGAGAGAATAATCCCCCGCTTTTTCATTGTGAGAGCATTTAAAGCTGGAGTAGATAACGTTGTCAAAATAATGTAAAACAACTTTAATTTTTTTTTTATGTTTCATTTTAATTTCCCTTTTGATTTTTTCCCGTTGAATATTGTAAGAGGCAATAAAAGCTTTCAGTTAGATGATCCTTTAATGGTCATCTGATAAGTGCGAGGGGGTGAGGGCATAGATTATGTCTTTGGCATCATAGGCAAAAAGCAAAACATTTTTCCTTTCGTCACACTTAAAGATCCCAAATAGATTAACCAATGTACGAGCATCTGGGCGTATTTCTATCATTATCGTCAGAAAAAAAACAAACAAATAACAAAAAAAACAATAACAAAAAACAAACAAACAAAAACAACAACAACAAAAAAAAGCAGAAAGAAAAACATGTTCCCCACCCCCGTCAAACAGTGCGGTAACTTCCGTGCTGCAACTAATACCTGCACTCCAGTAATCGCCCTGATTGAACCCTGACACATTTTCAATAGAAAGGTCTTTAAATTATGATACAAGTCTTTCATAGTACATGTACAATGGTGTTGGTAATTTTCACTTTTGATCACGGCAGTAAACCACGTTGAATTTAGCAGAGCACTGTTTAGCCACCGCATCGTTCCTGTGTAAGCTGTCAAGCTGTTGACCAGTACTAGTTGCTTTCAGTTTCGAAAGGATCTGATATGTTCTGTACATGTCAGAGCATAGGTACAGTGCGAATGACTGTAGAAAAGTTTTTATGATCAATTACAATGACCTGTACCGTCCAGGAATCGAACCCGGGTCGCCCGATTTACAGTCCAACGCTTTACTTCTGGAGCTAACTGGACGGCTTTAATATTCAATGCATATATGTTTGATAGGTAGAATATTGTTTAACCCATTAAATATAAACTTAAATAGATTTATAGGGACTTCACTGGAGGGCATGAATTTAAAGGGACTAACATTTTTTTTCAACATGACCGGATTGGAGGTTGTTTTTCGACATTTACCATTTAATTCAGGCCGGATAATTTGTTGTTTTATTTTTCAGAATAATCATTTATATTGTACAAGACAATCCAACTAAAAGCGGGCTGGGCTCGCACAAAAAAGAAAGAAATAGATAAATAAATAAATAAATAAATAAATAAAGAAAGAAAGAAAGAAAGAAAAACAGAAAGAAAGAAAGAAAGAAAGAAAGATAGAAAGAAAGAAAGAAAGAAAGAAAGAAAGAAAGAAAGAAAGAAAGAAAAAGATTTTTTTTCCAATTTAATTCTGAATATATTTCTATTTTCCGTTTGATCTTTGAAATTTTGTGTGCTTATGGGCCTAAGTAGTGGAATTCCTTCGATTAAATGATTAAATGTAAAGCTGAGATGTGATTGTTATAAATATATGGATTACTTTTATACAGCAGGTGTATAATATATTGTCAAAATCTTCCGACTAAATCAATTTTATTACCTTCAAATATTGAAGTGTTAATAGATAATGATGCACCCGTGAAACTTTGTTTCCGATAATCATATCTCGCTAATTAAACATTAAAGATAAATAGCCGATGACTTTGGACGCCATATATAGAAGTGGACTTTAATGTCGCCGATGTCTTAAATTTCAAAATTACAAAGTGTCATTGATTTACTTCATCGCTTGTTAGACATAAACAATTTGTCTGCGACCTTTAACACCCCTAAGCTCATAATTTATAATCAATGAGAGTTTTACTTGTTATGACAAATAACAATCTTGAATGTAAAGGTCGTCAATTTTGCAACGCTTATCGTTTTACAACTACATGTATTATCATTCTTAAATGAGTATTATGGCTTCGATTGTGTTGTTAAATTTATAATAGCAAGTTCTTTAGTGCAAAAAGTTAGTTCCCGATTTTAGAATATTTACCCCCCTTACCAAAAGTGTCAATAATCTGTAAAAGACAAAATATGGGAAATGCAATTATGATACTAATAAAAACTAACAAATAATAACATAAACAGCTGATTTAGGTGAATTGTCAAATTTGTTATATATATGTATATAAAACCCCCATTATTATAGCATCAATATCCAAATGGTTGTTATAATTGTTATAATATTACAGAAAGATGTATGTATTCTAGGCTTATCGATGGTCCATCCGTCCTTTCAGGCACAGAGAAAACGGACCTGTCATGTCAACATTCATGTCCTTTACATGGAGATGTAAGGAATATGAGGGATTTTATTCTTAAGCATAAATTATATGGAGAATTATCCCCTAAGAAGTCATTTGGAATCATTTATTCCAGTGAACATTTAGTTTTGAGGGTTCACAGCTGCTGGGAGACGGGCAAGAGTTTATGCTTGTCACAGCAATTCAAAGACCTAGTCCAACATATAATACAGTTCCTGTCAAAAGAAATTTACCTTTCGTAGGACGTATCTGACTGTTGGTCTCTTCTTTCTCAAAATGACGTTCGTGACTTTCTAGTAGTACAACATCAACAAAAACAATGTGTTGAACTGTTGATGCATGTCGTTTAAGTCATTACATAATGTTTCAAAAAATCAACACTGAAGTGCTAAAGAAATGTATAATATCCCTATATACATGCTTGAAGAAAGTTATGACTGTATATTATATGATTTGTGTGTATAATTGTATTGTTATGACGATTAGCTGTATGCTTAAGTTTTTAACTTTAAATTCTCTTTTGATCTGTATGTTTATCATTTATCAGCATATTTCTATCCCGAGACTATAACGGAGTATAAACTATTAAGAAGTATGTTCGCTATTTTAACATGGTAAAAGTATTTTAATTGTGATGGTTATTACTTTTGAGTATCTATAATCACTTTTTATTCACTTTGCAGCAGCTTTAGCATTTAAAAAAAATATTTTTTTTTTGGTCATTTTCATGGAAGTCAGCATGCATTCTTTTGTCTCATAAACACGACCAAAAGCATATTAGGAGTAGGTTTATACACAACACTAAGGCTCAAATATTTAAGTATTCATTCAAGTATCTAATATTCACGTGTCTTTCGAGATAAATGAAGACCCAATCCAGTCTTTAGTGACTAGATTAAGCATATATAAATGAATCATAACGAATTACTGAGTAGGTTATCAGTTAATCGTGTACATTTTACTACCTTTCTGTTATCAAAATTTATTTTCAAATAGCAGTACCTTGTATGATAGAGAAATGTGTACAACTCATTTTTCAGTGTAAGAAATTAAGAAAGATTAAAGGAAATAATAAGGAAACTAAAGAATTTCGAAAGCCTGTTTTTCAACGTTGATAGTAAGTTTGAATTATTATAAATAAACTATCAAAATTTGGCAATATGATAAAATACTTAAAGTCATTGGAACGGAGATTATAGTTTAACGCAATAATAGTTTTGAATTTAACGTGTATGATAAAAGATTCAAGAACAATTGTTTAAACACATAGAAAATAATGCTATCGTGGACGAGGAAACTAAGGTCTGCAATCAAAAATGTGCGACACATCATCTTTCGCGCTTTGTTTATTGCTTTGATAGGATTATACATCCGTGCTGCTTTTCTGCTGACTGAAAAACTCTATGATGAATCGGGACCAAATTTTTGGGACGCCATTGATAAATATGGGAAGTTTCTTACAATTATCTTATACGGTCTTACTCTTCCGGTGTATCTTAACGTACCAGCACTTGCTTGTAACCTTATTGGATTGATACTGTATAACCCCTTCAAAACGGTAAAGAGGAACGTTCAAATTAACACGGATACGCCGTTTATTTGCTTTCGAGTGGTTACGCGTGGACTTTTTCCAAAGCTTGTTGCGGAAGTCACGGAGAAAAACCTTGCAACTTGCAGAAACGTTGGGATAACAAATTTCAAGTTTGAAATAGTCACCGATACTACACTAGGAATTCAGCAATCACATAATGTCAGGGAACTTGTCGTGCCACAAGACTATCATACTCCGAATGGAACATTGTTTAAAGCACGTGCTCTACATTATAGTTTGGACAGAAACGTTAATATACTATCACCCGATGACTGGATCGTGCACCTGGACGAGGAAACACTTCTGTCTGAAAGTGTCTTATACGGAATAATAAATTTCGTTTCTGAACAAAAATCGGACATAGGGCAAGGAGTTATAACATATGGTGAAAGTGGTATAGAAAATTGGCTAACTACCTTGCTCGACGGAATGCGAGTAGCGATAGATTATGGATTATTTCGGTTGGGTTTGCAGTTTTTCCACAGACCCTTATTTGGATTTAAAGGTTCTTTTATTGTAGTTAAAATGAAAATAGAGGACGGAATAGGTTTTGATTTTGGACCAAAAGAAAGTATTGCCGAGGATCTGAGATTTGCATTAGCTGCTTGGGATAGTGGATATAAGTTTGATTTTGTGGAAGGCGCAATGAAAGAAAAAAGTACATTTTCATTGTCTGATTATGTAAAACAGCGGAAACGTTGGTTTATTGGCCATTTTCAAATAGTATGGGGAAACACGTTACCATTGTATTGTAAAAGCTTTGTCATGTTAATGAACATCAGCAACATGGTGCTTTGGACCAGTGTTCTGAATTCTATATTATCATTCCTGTGTCCCGTACCATTAAAGAAATGGCAACTGTTTTTGTTTCTACTTTTAACATTTCATTTGTTTTTGTTACTTTTATTCGGCAATTTTAAGTCTCTATGTGCTAGGAAATATTCTTTATTGACGAGAATTCTAGTATCTTTTCTATCACAAGGTTTAGTGCCTGTCCTTGGAGTAGCGGAAGCGTATTCTACAATGAAAGGATTCCTACATAGAAACAAACTTACTTTTGACATTGTGCAAAAGGAAACAAGCCATCAATTGAAAACATCACAAACAGAGAAATTTTCTCAAGTGTAAACAAATTTATCAGTGACAAATCAACCGATACAGTTTTGAAAGGAGATTTAAGGTTCTAGAGGTTCCAAGGTTTCTCACGAGCTGTGCTTTACAACCCTTGGACTGAGGAAGGGCATCAGGGCGAATGAAATATAGTCATGTTGTACTTATATTTCTTACTTTCAAAATGATATTTCAGTATGCTGTTACACTGTCGCTTGAATAATAATTGATAATACGTGCTTATACTTTGTAGTAAAAATAACTTTGAGGATTAACTTGGTTTCTATTACTGACTGTAAATGTAAAAGAAACTATACACAATAGTAATGATTATCCTGCTGATTTGCTTTGAATTTTAGATGGTCTATTATAAACTTAAAATACTTCAGTAATGAAAATACTAAAAAAAATGAACTGCAAGCAAAACGGAGCCTTGTCAGCTCTGGTAGCAAAGGTTAATCACACGTAAAGGGTTAAAATGATTAAGGGTAGAAGATAATCGACTTTTCAACTCCTACTTAGATAAATGTATATTCAATTTGACTGATATGAAGTCAGCAATATGTACATAGGATAGTCTTGTTATCATTTATTTCAATTTTGTTAAGATAATCTTACATCAATATAATGTAGGTGGCATTTTTTTGAACTGTCACTTTATCACATGACGTCGTTTCTTATCAATGAGCTCATGTACTCGTATACCCATGCTTTATTGTTCAACTGGGTATATATTCCTTTTTTCTTTTAACTAATTGATATAAAGTGATATGATCTGTAATAAATGAAATAACTATTCAATATTTAGGTTTTCAATACATATCAGACCAATGACTGAAATGTTCATATCAGATTTATTGTAAAGTCTTCAAACCTATTTACCAAGTATTCCTCCAAATACAACATAAATCAACATATCTTCCTTCTGTTTTCTTTTCTTTTCAGTCAAACTCATCGGAAAAGCTTCGTATTCTGGGGTAGGTTTTCAATGAAATCTGTCGAAAATCTTCGTTAAGCATAATCAAGTGTTTTAAACTTGTATTTGTACTTTTTTGTATTTTTGCGTTTCGCCATTTTAATACGCTATGTCTTTTAAGGATTAAAAGAGCTAATTAGCTAGGGGTTTAAAATGAATATGTTCTTATGTTGACAAAAGGTTGCTCATAAAACTATAAACATTTCATTTTTAAATGCTATATGAATATTATATATCACAATATTGATTCTGTTTCTAACGCAAAATGCATTACAACATTGATTTACCGGATGTGCTTAGCAATTAAATATCACGTTGTGACAAGAAATCTAACATTTTTGTTGTCGTTACATAAATTTTAGAATGAAACTCGCCGCAGATATCTTCGTACAGACAGACTGGCTTTTTATCCTTTTCCCTGATTTTTCAAATATATATGTCTCTATGAAAAGTCATGTATATGTATATATGTACTCGTCATGGATAATACACTTTAATATTATCTTTGGATGATTCTACCTTGAATGTTTACAGCATTTTCATATTTAAATATTGCGGTTTGCTCAAGCCGTTGCTGAGCGCAACGTTTACACTTTTCTGAATAGTTGTTAGTGATGAAATGGGGTTCATTTAATGGATTTGCACCGAATGAAATATGATAAACAAGATCAACAAGGAAAGGCGGCGTTCAATGAACGTAACCCTCACACGACCCCACTAAAACCCGCCTTACCACAGCACATAAAAGCCTTGGTGTCACTTGAGCTTCGAGACTATTCACGACAGTTAGGGTTCTGGAAATTCTTTCAACAAATGCATACCTAATGATTTGACATAGTAAATGATAAATTGTGAACAGAAGGACCTTATGACCGTTATAATACATTAACAAATGAAAAATGAGATAACATTCTTTATCACAGGAAAATAGAGGATGATACTTTTAGACCAGGGGGTATCAACTCACCGCGATAACAAGGGACATGAAAGTCACTAATATTATGTCATTCTTGTTTTATCTTGAAAATTTCGGTACACTGCGTGACAGTGTAAAGGGGCTACGAACTTCGAAATGAGAATTTTCCTTTTATTTCGAGTGGCTGAAAAGACAGTTCCAGCTGTTAAAACGAATGTTTGCACTTAGAGAAAATTTTCCCTTAGCGTTATGGATTGGTTTATGACAAACTTACAGGAAAGTTACAATTTGCGATTTTTTCACATGATTATCAACTCTGATGGTAAAAAATAATTTTCCACCCACCAAAAAGGCGGATTAATTATTTACTCAAAACTTTTTGTAATACATTACTTTGTGTAAGTACTTTACCAGTAAAAAGTGGTATTGTATGTGAGGAGAATGACTGACTTTGATGATAAAGGCAACAAACGTTGCTCATAAACGCATTTTGATTCACAACAATGACTTATAATATCTAAGACCTTTTGTTTTTTAACAATGTTTGATCAAACAGTACAAAACTAATCGACACAAATGAAAGCACACGAAATGAATTATATTCAGTCTTAATGATGCAGAATAAAATCATCAACATTCAAAATATTAATTTTACAATATCCAATCAATTATTCAAACAACTTTAATCCAAAACAACCAATATTTACAGATATTTTAAACAACTAAATCAAACAAATCATCAAGACTAAGTATTATAATCACGATGAAAATCATGACAACAAAATCCGCCAAATACGATTCAAGCATTATCAACCAAAATACCTCACTAATAATATAACTCAAAGACCAAATACAACTCAATCAATGAACTAACATACATCAGACAAACTGAATTCTGGTAAATTAAGATCACCACATATAAATTCAAACAAATTCAACAAAACCCCATCAATATAGCAATATTCTTTTCTCAAATATAAACGGTATAGATTATGTGATTACCTTCCCTTAACTAATATCAATTTCCACCGAAAGTTACAATCGCTGAACAAAACTTCGTATAAAACCGCATTATTATTATTATTACAACATTGATGTATTGCAGTCTTGTTTTCGCTAACAGTGTAGGTACGACCTTTTGTCAAACCATTTTCTTCTTAAAAATTGTTGTTGTTGTTTCAACTGAATAATATGTTTGATATTTGGCCTTATTCGTACTTCTCGAGGTTTACAAATTAAAGAATGAAGAACAAATATTACTTTTAACCGCGAAAATGAGTGGTATTGTGATTTCTGAACACACAGAATGGCAAAAACTTCTGAAAGTGATGAAAAAATGAAAAGTAGTCAAATAATTTTTCATTGCAAATTTATTACCCGTCAATGAGGCGTATTGAATTTAAAATAATTTAATGAAATAGTATCTCAAATCGTATATTTTTGCTCATTCATGTATTAGACAAAAAATCTCCACAATCTTTGTGTAGTTCATTTCAACGAGAGAAAGATAAGATGAACATTTTTTCATTATTGTTTAAACACTAAGCCAATAAGCAATTGTAAACAGTTATTCGTAAAAATGGTTAAGTACGAGTTTGTCCGTTCAGATTAGAAATAAGACCCCTTCACTCCTGTTTTTTTTGGACAAGGATAAGATAACGCTGCTATACTTATAACAATGGGGTTTCTTTTATTTCCTTGTCACAACCTATCCGACCAAAAAGGAATATTGCTATCAGGACAACTATAACTTAATCATATTATGTTTCGATTTTCTGATTAATAGTTTAAGTTTTTAATTTCCATGCAACATTAATGTGATCCAACTATTTACATTATCAAAAAAACAAACAAAACAAAACAAAACAAACAAACAAACAAAAAGAAAACAACAAAAAACATTTAAGCTAAACAATTTAACAAGAGGAATCAAAACCTCTTTTAAAAGTTCAATTAGATATAATAGCGTAAATGTTAAATACATTTAATACCCGCTATGATGCCAAAACAATTTCTTATGTAAACCTGTGTATCGTTTTTCTGTTTATCACTGGTATATTGTATCCTCGTGTTATGTTGTATTTGGTTGGTATTTCGCCTAACTGTTGTAATCGTCGTCGTTTGTTTGCCTAACTGTGGTAATGTTTTGTATAGTCTGTTTCATATGAGAGGTCACTGTAAGTTGAAAGGTTGTATGAATGTGTTCACTAATATTTCACGTGCATGACCCTAAAATCCCCGCGAAACATTTTCTTGCTTAAGTAAAATATTTCCCTTCGCCATTCCAGACATTATACGAAGTAACTGATAAACTTACTTTACAGTATAGTTGTTGATAGTAGTAGTTACTTATTATAGTAAACTTGAACATCATTTATGGAAAGTTCTTGTATGCTGATCCTGGCTCGTTTTTTGTTATGTTCCAACAATAAAAATTGATGAAATAGAAGCAAGTCTTCAATCATTTATCCCCCGTTTACAAATGGCGCTCCCCGACGATGAACTAACATACGAGCTAGGGTCGATGGACAGTCTTTCACAAACCGCCTCCAGGTAACGCCCCAGCCGAGAAAACTTAACAGCTTTTCAAGTTGGAGATAGACGCGATGTTTGTGACGTTGGCAACGTACCGGTACAACTCTACGCATCATAATGGTATATTCCCCCTGTCCCATTTTAAAGAGCTCTTTACCCCATTATAATGATTACATTCCATTTTATAAAGCCCAAAAGTCTATAAACTGTAGAAAATTACGTTTTCTAGCCCATATGTAATCAAGAAAGGATCACCGTGGAACTATTTTCATCGCGGAGGACGAACATATTCGACCTATGCACGTGCAGGGAACTTTAGTGTGTGTGTGTGTGTGACTTTATTTTGTGTATTTGTACATGTATTGTTTTTATAGTGAAAAGTGTGTATATTTTATGGATTAAGGATGTAATGTAATGTAAGTACTCTTTCTATATAATTATTTTGGTCACTTCGGTAGTTAAAAAATTATTAGAATCTACTTGTATACTGTACAGTTTTTATTTACATCAAAGTTAGCTATCTTCAGATAGGCATTATTCGTTTTCAGTACACTACATGTAAATTTTTGATATAAGAAGATTTTTCTTTCT